ACAGTTTATACGAAACTTCCCCGCACTTTTCAACATGTCAGCCCTTTTTTGGCTACCGTTCACGTTATTGTCAATGCCCAGTCCACTGGCGCCTTCTACTGTGTGGACAGTCGACGCCATGAATATAACAAACGACGCTTAGTGGTTTAGAACGGCAATTTCTGGAGAGAACATTTTCTTTCTTTTTTGGCATTTAGAAGGCCATTTAGCGGAAATGGACCGTAGTTCTGGACTCAGTGCCCATGCCCCTACACCATGCAAAAAACCATTTTCAAAAAGCGTCCCACGCCTTCAAAGACCTTCCTTGTAAGAGACGTTCTGCACCCAAGTGGAAGTTGAAGCAAAACAATTCGGAAAGTTTTGTCCCACTTAAAGTTTTTGGGCTCAAGGCTGACCATTGCTGAACGTCCTTTTCATACAATCGTTGTACTATGCAGCGCCATCTGTGGTGCCGATCGCAAGCAATTCACGCTTCAAGTGGTCGAATAATCCAATATAGCTCGAGCTCAACCAGTCAGGTCCACGGCTAACGCCGGGCTTCCCTCTTTTCTATGTCTTGTGACAGAGTTGTAATGATCGGCAAAACGGCCGCTCTTTTTTTAAAAAAATGATCCATTTTGGAACATAAACCTATGGGGACTGACGGGGCAGGCAACCGGTACTCAGTAATGTGCCGATACTAATGCCTATCTCGATGTACTGTAGATGTGTTTGCTGCTAATCACCTTGAAAGTAATGACCTTCTGAAGGACCAGCCGGTAGGCTATCAAAGTAATAAGGTGTTCATAAATGTTGTTGAGTAATAACAACACCATTATCAAATGCCGTTATCAATGAAGCTTATTTCTCTACGGATGTAACAGTCGAGGGTTTCAGGTTGCTGGCGGTCGAGTAGGTTTTGCCGCAATAGAGATTGAAACAAAGGGGAACCGTGATCATTCATTGAGTCACAAAGTTTGCTGGGTAATCTAACAGAAAAAAATGAATCTTCTCTTCCTACAATATAGCGATTTTGGTCGGTCCCTCGCTGCATTTACCCTCTCTGGGCGCGGTCCGCTCCTACCACCCACTAAAACCACTCCTACTAAATTTGAACGCTCTGGGTTCACGGGAACAGGACTTATGTATTTCCGCTCCAACGGTTATTTCGCGCAAACCACGACCCTGTGGGCGAAGTCCGGACCTGGTACTCATCATGAGTTCCATGTACGGCTTTCTATGAACCTCGGCATAATTGTATTATTGAGTTTACTGTTTTCTTGAACTTTCACGAGGTTTTTAAGTATACTTTATTAGGCTGACGTTTCGGCGGAATCGCCTTCTTCAGAGCCTGAAAGGATCACAACAATCTGTGACTATCCGATCAAATGTCTCCACCAACCCCACTAAAGCTCGAGACCACCAGGGCACGCAAGCGATTGAAAGGAGAACCATTCACCGTAGCTCTGTGGATTCATCGAAACCATCCAGCGAGTGATGGTACCAACCGACCAGTGTCAGCTGGGGTATGTCTTCATTAAAGTCTCTGCGGGAAGGCCAGCTTTATATAAGGTCGAAGCTCACGCGTGATTGCGAGACATTCTTTTCTACAATTCATTTCGGGACCGGTGACCTGTATCCTTGCCTCGAGGGTTTTACGTGCGCACAATTGCGATTCCTGTGCTACGACCTCCACGGTGACCTCAAAAACGCCTCCGTTATGCTTTTGGATTCGGTGACTCCCCAAGGCAGTAGACTCTTTCAATCGCCTCATACCATCTATGTGCTCCTTAACCCTCACGTGGAGTGGTCTTGCCGTTTCTCCAATATACTCGTCACCACAATCACGGCAAGTAATTTTGTAGACCACTCCAGACATGTTACAATCACCCTCCCTCCCAGCTGGACAAACCACACAGTTTGTGGTAGTACATAGGCGATCGTATAGCCTGTTCCGAACCAAGCGCTTCTTTAGATTGAAGGGTGGTACGTTTATAATGGTAACTAGATTTTCCAAACCTGATCTTTTTAGACACTTTCTAATGGAGGCACTGACCTCAACAGAAATAAATGGTAGTACAAAAGGAATTTTTCCTTCAATCGAGGTACTACCATGTCTGAGAATCACACCGCCAGAAGAAGTTCTACGTGAATTTGGAAAATTGTAGTAGCCATTAATTTTTCCTTCAATCGCTTGCGTGCTCTAGGGGTCTCGAGCTTTAGTGGGGTTGGTGGAGAAGTTTGATCGGATAGTCACAGATTAGATTGTTATGATCCTTTCAGGCTCTGAAGAAGGCGATTCCGCCGAAACGTCAGCCTCATAAAGCATACTTAAAAACCTCGTGAAGAGTTCAAGAAAACAGTAAACTCAATGATACTCATCATGAGTGTTCATCCTGTCGGCAGTACTCCTACCAAATTTGTATGCTCTAGGTCCAGGGGACAGGAGTTATAAATTCCCGCTCAACCCCCCCCCCTGTAGACGGGGTCCGGTCCCGCCACCCACCGTTAGTGTTCCCATCCTGTCGTCTGTGCTCCTACCAAGTTTGAACGCTTTGGGTCCACGGGGACAGGAGTTATGAATTTCCGGTCGCACACACACACATAACACACATACAGGGTGTCCCAAAACTATTGGCGCCAAAGTTCAGAAATTTCTAAGGTGGAAGTTATTCATCAAATTGACATTACCTGTTATTATTCAGTTGCATAAGAAGGTTTCCTTGCAATATGCATAGTTACTGGTGTGGAACTCCCAATATCTCTCGGATGGAGGAGGTTCACTCAATGCCGCTTGCAATCATTGACACGCGAGAAGTGGAAGGGCATTATGAAATTCTTTGGGACTTTTATAATAACCGTATAGGAGGCTATTAAATCATATGAAAAAGAAGATTGAATCAGAGACAAACTAGGAAAGGTAGAAAGGTAGAATGTTCCTGAAGAGAGGGCTATCAAAATGGTTCGCCTGCCAGTCGGTCGGGATTCTGGGTGACCCCTCAAGAGGAAGTCAACGGGCACGGCTTATAGGAGTTATCGCGATGGAAGAATATCATGCAGGAGCTTTACTGCCATTCCTATCGTATGCAGAAATTTCGCTCCAATTTCGTTCTCAACAGACACTGCAGGTCCAAAAAATGCAGGAAGTCGCAGACCCACCTGAATGATGACACGCAACCCTTCGCCGTTTTCTCTGGCCAAAACATTTTTTACGATAAAACCATCCCTCAACAACCAAAACATTCGCGTTCCGGAAAGAATCATCTATTGTGTAATATCTCACAAAAAGCGCCGTGAGGAACCTCGGGCTCAGGGTGCAGACAAACAGCTCCAGCCGGTTACAGGTCAGCTCATCGCTTCTGTTTTACTTTCTTTTAGAGTTCTCTTCTTGTAATTTGAAATGGTGGCCCACGAATCACAAATATAGTTTCGACTTACAGGCTCCGACGAAGGCCATATTGCCGAAACGTAAGCCGCGTGGATAAAGTGTTCCTAAAAACCTTGAAGGCTAATACAACCTACGACGAAGTTATTTCAATATGCCGGGGTTAATCGAAGGTCGGACATGGGATATTTTCACAAATAGGTTGCTATAAGAACAGTGAAACGTTGTTTTTCGAGGAAATAACTGGCAAGGGTAAGCCGCTAGTGGTTTCTTCGGTGAACGCGTGAAAATTGACCAAGACCAGTACTCGACCAGCGTACTGATGGAAGCAATAAAGCACTGATCCGACTACGTTTTCTTAAACTCCTCGAAGTCCTTCCAGCAAGACGCTATCCCAGCCCAGGAGCCAAGCTTGCCCGCGAGTGGTGCCTACGACAGCTGCCCGACTTCATTGGTGAAGAGGAGTGGTCATCCTATTTTCCAGAACTTGACTCACTTGATTCCCACGAATGGTTCCTGATTAGAAAAGGACCTGTCGAGTTTGCAGTCCCAGTATGGAGCCCTAGAATGTAAAGGCTGCGGCTGGGAAGAAATGGAGAAGGATACCTGTGTGCCACACGAGATCAAGTCGAGAGCAAACTTTGACTTCTATCCGCACTCATGGGGGATATTTTGAAATGCGACTGTAGTATGTTGTGGCACATAATGTTAGCTAGCGTGCACGGAATTTCCATCGTTTTTCGTAGCGGAGAAATTTCAAATATATTGCTATAAATCGGCGCCAGTAATTTTGGGACATCCTGTACATATTCACACACGTACACACATACACACATTCATACACACATACACACATACCCACATACACACAAACATACACCCACAAACACAAACACAGATATTAGCGCGTGATATATAGTATGAGAGTAACATCGGAGCCACCCACAAGTCAACATTTTGCGAGAAATATTTCATTGAGCTTCCTCTTTTTGGACTGGCTTATCAAATGTTCTCGTTCGAGCTCACCAATTTCTTCGTTGCGCTAAACGAACTATATGCTGAAGTCTAAAATGTGTCATTTATGCCTCATGACCTGAAGAACAACGCTGAGCGAGTAGCAGAGAAACGGTTGTGATAACACAGAGTCAATTTCGGGTCCTTCTGATCAGTTAGCTCGACTTTGTTTTTAACCTCTACTTCCCCATCATATAATCGTTTCCTCGACTGGACAATGAAGGGGAAGCGTTCATGCTGAGCTAGCGAAGTTGCAAAATAACCCTTTCAAGGTCCAGCACGGCAAAGTAGTACGATCTATTGTTGAGTATTATTCACATTATGTTTATCCAGCGTGACATAAAGTATCGTCCAGTGAAGATGCGCTTCCATTTTTTTAGACATACCTCCCTAGATATGCCAGGTTTTCCTTGATTTTCGTGTTGTGAAATGCCTATCAATGAATGTTGTAGAGGAGCAGGTTTTCAGTTGTCTAAGTGAATTGTGAAATAATTCGGAAGTTCTTTTTTCGGAATTCCCTTTTTTCGTCAAGCACCACCATACCTGTATAATCTTTAGTCTGTCAGAACTTTCAGTCTTTCAACGGAACAACTAGTGTAACAGCAATATGACAACTATGACATCAATACCTTGTCCCATACTCTTTAGCGCCAATGACCGCTTGCATCGGCATGACATGGTCTCGATGAACTTGCCGATCTCCTTCTGAGGGATGTTCTCCCATGTAAACTTCAGTTGAACGAACTTCTCGTGCCCATTTCGAGCCTAGCTTGACGCTCGAGACTATCCCATAGATGCTTGATGGATTGGGAGATGGCGACGGCCATGCCTGCAGAGGAATGGAACAGGTTGGTGAGCAGGTTCGAGACATTGTCATACTGGAAAATTAAGCCACTGACGTCGGCACTATACATAACCTACAGAATTTGAGGCCCACCTGGTAATCTATACTGCCCTTGCTACCGAGAAGGGCACCAACTTATTTGCCTTAGAAGCTGCCATGAACCACCACCGTGCCCCGCTACCCTTCACGGTCGGCAGCTGATTGTCGCACAATTTTTTTATAGAATTAGTTAGATGATTTCAATTAATTTTTGATTTCATCCTTCCCGCACAGCAAAAGCGTTGATTTGTCACTCCAGATTACCCTATGCCACTGCTGAACGATCCAGTTCTTGTGACCATGGGCCCAATCGTGGAGCGCTTCGCGATCTTTGGCAGAAATCAGCAGTTTCTTTACTGTACGACGTCCAAACAGACCGGCCTCTTGCATAAAGGAATGATGCTTGGTTGCAGTGGCCATTGTATGTGGTTTCAAACACTGATCGAACCTGTATTCCGAAACAGCTAACGATTTTGGGAACAAAGTTACGGGCAAATGCACCCTTGTGCCATACCAGTGTACTGAGCAGATCAACGAGCTGAGCAACGTCGTAGTTATGCAACGGTGGCGCAGCTGGTAGCACGGTGGACAGGTGTTCATGACATCAAGGTTCAGTTCTTGATGCATGCGCTCGCTTGCAGAACGTTTTTGATTGGCCATCTAAAAAGCTCTCTAACATTTTAAGATCCAGAATAGCGATCCAACAAAACTTTTTCTCCTTTTATTGACCGAATAGATACGCATTGGTACACGTTAAAGGACGGTTCACAATAAAAACGGTTTCCGAGTTTTCCCTTGGAATAATCAGTGGCTCCAAAGGCTACAGGAAGGACGCTGTCGTGTCCCAAAACAGTGAAAGGACGTAGTGGGAGTCTCGTTGCCGGACCACCCGGACTGCCCGCCCCTCGATTGTTGTCACGTCAGACGAGTGCCGAAACATAGATTGCAAAATTCGCTCGTGGACCCACACACAATCAGCTGATGGCCGAGTAATGAGGCGGCATTCTTCTGCTATTCCCTTATTCTCCGGTATTTGTTTTTTTTTGTTGCTGCGATCCCTTAGCTAATTTTCTACAATAAGAAGCTCAAAAAAGGTAGGCTTTTTCTGCTTACTATGGTTTTTTCTGTTTATTATGTTTATGAATGAACGAGTTTTTGCTTACCGTAGTCAGTTATTTGCACCAGGGCCCATACGTAAGCAACGACACACATTGTATAGCTCGTCCAAACGCCCCACTCTCATTCTCGTCCAGCCCCCTTTGACGATTTTTCGAAGCCTTTTTTCAATTTGAAAGTACCGATTCACGCAGTTCCTCAGCTTTCATCGCACTATTTTCCATCTAATCTTCCATTTTTCGTCAGAATCTGGATTACCCAAAATTATCGTGCACTGTGCCTTCAACTGGCACTGTTGAAGAAATACTATGGAAGAATGGTTTATCTATTTTATGTTATCCGCTAATTCATGAGGCAAACATCCTTTCATGAGGTAAACGTGGTGATGCGGTGGGACATGACAACACGGTTACACTCAGAATCCTCAATCCATCTACGACTTGCTCTGAAATTGTCCCCTGTGGGCCAGAATTCTTTACGTGTGTACACGCAAAAGTTGAAACCATGAGCTATTACATATGAGGCGGTGTGTCTAACCATATTTTTGATAGAAAATAAAAAATGAGCTTCTATCAGCTGTATTAGCCTCGTGGTAGCCTCGAGCAGGGTATAATTCCCTTCACTTGCTTTTGTGGAGGTAAGCCGCACTGAATAGCTTTCTGGTCTTTGAATGATGTTCACGAGTCCATTATAAACAGTGCCGGTGTTGGTGAGTACGGAGCTGCTACGCATCGCACCCAATCTGGCATCATCACTGCTCATCACATGCGTTTTACTGACGCGGAGCTCCAAATTTTGCGCATGGAGGAATCTCCTACTCGGTAACAGGTAGGTAGGTAGGAGAAGGTATAAGTAAAGCATCAAAAGTTCATAGAACGTGATAAAGGAGTGAGAGTATTTTCTAGTCCTCGAAGGAAATATTCTATATAATGCAAAAATTACGTCTTCCACAAAACTCGAACCCTAGCTTCTCGCACATGAAGCGTAACGCTACCACTTCAACAAGCCGCCGTTAAGAAACGATGCACATCAATGTAATTTAAGTTTTCTTATGTTACGCTCCTCGAACCCACCCTTATAACTCCGTTCAGAGGAATGCTCGGCAAAATTGGAAAGCAGATTTGAACTTGGCATTCAAAAACACGTCTAGCAGTGTAGGTCTCATTTCAGAAGGCCACTTCGACTTGGGATCTTTCTCTGGTTAGATGGCCGAGGCTCATTCAATGCCGCTGCAATCATCCGAGAGACATTGCTATTCTCAACTGAGAAGCTTTGGACATATTGCCATGAATCGTCGCGCAAAATTTTGAGACACTGTACGTTTCATATTAAGTTCGGCGGCCATTGCATCCAAGTATCCGTCCTTTGTCAGACGATCCTTTGTCGGACGACGTCGTACTGTGTACACGAATGAGTTTTTGGCCCCTCGAACGCCAATCTTTTGCGAAGAGTTTTGGCCGCGATGGAAGCGGGTCGTTCCTTGCAAACCGCTCAGTGTCTCAGTCGACAAGACGTCATCTGCCATTCTTGCTGTTATTGGATGTTTTTTGACTTCAGCTGGCCCTCTGTCCTTGTATTCCTTCCGAATGGTCCTTACACATAAAAATGAATTTTGAAAACTTGCCAAGATGTTAAGCTTCCGAGGAAGCTCCAAATGATGACTTCAACTTGGTACGGTTCCCGAATGTTTTGGCATGGCTTCAATAATGTACCATGTGCAGGGTGTGACTCAGAACAGTGAGAACCACCCGAAATTCTTAACATAAAAAACCCACTGGTTATCGAAAGTGAAAGTGTGCATTGGCAGGCGATTTCAAAGTAAAGCGCTAGTTTTAGTTGGAAGTTGCCAACTGTTTAAGTTACCTACTGTTAAACTTTCTCGCAGAAAGCTTGAGTTTTGCCAAAATTAAGTTTGGAAAAGTGAAAACGCATACCTCACCAGACGATACTGTTCTTCCTCCAAGAAAATGGAATCCTGACTAGCGAAAGAGTTCGTACATGATAACTCTTCACAACAACTAAAAAAGGGTGTTTACCTAACTTATCCGGTTCGATCGTAGAAGAGCGAGAAGTTATATGAATGTTGACTATTTTGATCTTGGTCAGGCAGAGAAAGCTTCTGACTGCGTTGTAACTGTCAACAACCTGACACCATTAATTCACCAAAAAGTAGAATTGTTATATATTGGATTGTAACATAAGTTCGTGATGTTTTTTCACAAAAGTTTATTTAAAGAAAAAACAACAATTAGAATAATAAATTAGTGAATGATGTGTCCTCCGTTACTGTTTACGACCTCCTTCCATCTCTCGACCAATTTGTTGATGCCGTTCCGCCAAAAATCGGCCGGTCTGGTGTCGAAGAAGTTGTTGAGCTTTGAGATCCTCTTTGCCTTTGAAGGTAACACCCCTCATTCGGATTGAATGAGAGCGGGAAAGATGATAGTCGGTAGGTGCAAAACCCGGAGAGTAAGGTGGATGCTGAAAAACCTTCCTTTCAGGCTCTTGGAGTGCTGTTCTGACGACTTGGGCAATATGGGCCTGGCGTTGTCGTGGAAGATGACTGACTTGTCTTGTCTATCGGGTCTTTCCAGCCGGGTAGCCTCATTTACATGACTCACCTAGGCAATGTAGACCTCTTGTTGAAACATCGCCACAGCCGGTCATCGCAATGGGCACGTCGGCTGTGAACGGAGGAACCTAGAAAGGGTTTAGAGGGATAGAGGATCAAGAGTTAGAAATGGGAAAGGAAAGAGGGTTCTCAAATTGGTCAGGAATATGACAGGAAGCCTGCAGATCCCATCCACGAAAAAGGAGACTCAGAAAGTAAATTACAGCAACCAAGGGAAACCAAAGGGAAACGACCATGTACTCATGAGATGATCGTCCCTCAGAGCTGTACAGGACACGGTACTGTCTGACAGAGATCTGGCTGCGCAGCATAGGCTCCTACGAGCAGGAAAAGACATCAAACTTTTCAAAAAGATCAAGGACAAAAACGGAGTGATGGGTCCGCTGGTGCTGACTCGATCAATCCGAAAAAAGAACACAAACGAAGACTGGACATTTGTCTCCCAAATCTTAAAGAGCCGATATAGAAGATATCGAGAACACTGGAGAAATCATCGCACGTGTATAAGGAACACGCAGGACCAGTCTTGATGTGGGATTTGGGAAAACAGGAAGCGTGGTATCAGGGCAATGAAGTCTAGCGAGTGCGGGGCAGAAAGTGCCTACAAATGTAGGTAAAGGCCGCGAGCTCCAGAAAACTTAGCTGCTGACAAAAGCTGCATGAAGCTCGCAAAGCCTGATGTAGCGGAAGTAAGGAATAAGGAAATGGACGCCTTCTATGATAGGTTTGATAGCCGAGAAGTAGAGAATTTCGTCTTCCGGTTGGTCAAAGCATGCACCTTTCTACTCAACCGGTGCAACCCTGAAGAACGGTGCAGGGTGCAACCCTGAAGAACGGTGCGGGGTGCAACTCTTGAAGAGACCTGGTGATGTCAAGGGCAGACTTCTAAACGAGGAGTTCTTCCGTGAGAGCAGATTCCATGTAGAGGCAACGGCTGATCTTATCACACCCTGATTAAAAGATGACGTATGTATAGCAAAAGGGGAGAAAGGTTGTGAAGACTACTGGTAGGATGCGATACCAATCGAGGAGCGGAAGGAGTTCGAATGGCTTGGGATTAGGTGGATCGCACGATTAATGAACAGTGTAACCACCAAAGAAAGGGACCTAAACATCTAGAAGAGCAGTACTGTCGCTTCCATCTTCAAGAAGAAGAGAGATGTGGTGGAGTCTTCCTACTAACAGAGATCCGGTTGACTGCGCACATGATGAAACTGTATGAAGGGCCAGTCAACTCACGAATGTGGAGAAGAATTCTGATCTCGCACGAGTAAGCTACATGCCAGGGAAGTCTGCAACAGATGCCACCATCATAGCTAGACCCGTGATAGAAAAGTATCGAAAAAGCGTTCCCGTAACCTAACCGTTTTCGATTTGGGGATTGCAACCACTTCACGCTCAAAACCGGTGCTCTGGAGTAGAAAACGTTCCGAGACACCTGACCTCCTGGTCATGTAAGGTATGATAAGTGCTATGCACCCCTCACAGCTCAGCAAAAGCAATAGACATGACGGTCGTCGTACAAAGATCAGTTCTGATCCCGTTCCGTTCCTTCTGGCTTATAATGGATGACATCTTGAAAGAACTCATAGATGAACCACTGAAAATCATACTCTACGCTGGTAACATGGCTATGATAACGGAAAGAGGAGAAAATTTTCAGGGCAAGCTGCGGAATTGGAGAAAGATGATGGCGAGAGTGAGCTTCAGCTAGTCGTGAAGGAGAACCAAGTTTCTCTCCGAGGAGTGCATGAGACCAATTGTAGACGGTCTTCTTGGAAAAGTCACTATTAGAGAACAGGGTTTCCGATACCTGAGCGGTGGCGTTGATGGTGGCGTTGATCAGGCTGTAAAAGCTCAAATAAATGCGGGTGGGTGAATTGGAGGGAGTCAACTGGTGTATTGCGCGATAGGCGCTGCTCCAAGACGCTCAAAGGGAAGTTGAATTGGAGAGTGGTGAACGTCACAACGTTCTCCAGCAGCCAATGCTGGCCCGTAAGTGGAAGTTATTAGATACATTTTCATTCCGCTGTATGAGGGCGTACAGATGGGCCCGCAGTCGTACGCGATTGGACAAGGTGAGATACGAGAACGTTCAAGGCACAGAACACGATAATTTTGGCGCATCCGATTCGTGAACGTATCAGTCCAGTGTCGTGCAAAAATAGTGAGGAAAATCGGTGTATTCGGGGAAATAGAAGGCTTCAAAAAAAGTAAAGCTATGAGTTGAATGAGAATGTAACGGCAGAATTTGCGTGGAAGGGGTATTACGACGAGCTGTTCAAGAGCGCGCGTCACTGCATACAGCTCCCTGCAGTAAGATGCCTGCGTGCACGGTGGGTCCCAGTCACAGGTTCACCAAGAGGAACCTCAGAAATCAATTTTAACGCGAATTGGTACCTTTAAAGCAGTCCTTTAAACAGCTCCTTTTTAGCTGATGATGAGAGAGCAGCTCCAGTGACGGAACGGCCACGTACACAGGCCGTAGAATCGTATAGGACAGGCAATGAAACTCGAGGCTCAATAGCATCGACCACGAGGAGCACCCCAAAAAAAGTGGCGAGGCGAGACGTTATGGGTAAGGGTCTCGCCAAAACTGGAGTAACGGCAGAAGATGTCGTAGTCGTAGCAAAAGCGAAATGTTAGAAGATAGAATGACAAGAGTAGCGGTTTCTGTGACGATAGTGAGTTACCGATAAGAAGAAAATTCCGAAAAGATGTTTTGCGTGGTTCCCAGCAACACGATATAGGTGACTGCCAGGTTTCTGAAAAAAGGAGGAAAGAAGTACTAGACGTCAATTTAAGTCCAAGACTACATACATTTAGCAGCAATCAAAAGACAAAAGACACTAAGGGAAGAAGCAGGAAAAAACGTGCATCAAAACGTGTTATTCGCTTTTGGAAGCAAAGACACCGTACATTACCCAAACTTCAAAGAGAAGAGGCCAAGAGTATTCATGTGCACGATGACAGTGGAACAGTCAAAATATTAGTGGGAAAACGCAGCCTGCCGCATCCTACTACTTTCTGGCGTCTTACGGACGAGATGTCACAGTCTCTTCGATCAATCGTGGTGAGCGGTCCGGTCTCTCCTTGCTCCGCCGCACTGGTTCAACTATGCTACCTTTTCCAAATTACTCGGGGCAGGATCTACGGTGCTACTGGTTTACTCTAACGTTTTCTTCTACAGCACTGAACTCTTCTAGCTATCATTCCAATTATGAGCTCTGTATCCCTGACGTCGGATTCTGTCTCAGCCTTGAAGTATTGTGAGAGACCTTCGCGCAATGGATCAGCCTATTCAAGCATACTGGATTGTCTTGGTGAAGAGGGAAGCCCTCCCTCTTTACCAAGACAATCCAGTATGTTTGAATAGGATGATCCATTCCCTCACACATTAAGTTTATTATTGGTGTCTTGGTAGAGACTGAAGAGGAAATTTCTGGGCTGAATCGTCGTTGCGATGCTATTCTTCTGGATAATGAAGTTCTCAAAGAGGAAAATGATTCCTGAAGTCTCACCTTGAGAGATTGTTCCTAGACATTTCTAGACGTTGAGTGTTTTCCTTCTTTCGTTTATTGTATGGGCGTAAAGAACAGCCCTCAACCGAGACTTTTTAAAGTTGTGCTTCCTACTGCCCGTTTCCAAGGAGAAGCGGTCAGGAAGGCTCCTTGCCTACAGTTTTTCCCTCACGGGGAGGTCTATACTCGCCCTCCCCTAACAAGGGAGGAAAGAACGCGTAGGCGGGAGGCTTGTAAAGTAGATGCTGTCTATTTCGATAATTCTATGGTTCATCGAACCCAACGTGTTGATTCTACAGATAGACGCTGTAATGTTGATGCTGAAACTCTTCCTGAATCCATTTTGCAGGGGGGACCTCTGACTTTTCGCGGCCCCATCCGAAACTTGAGTGCTTGCTTTCGAAGATCCGTAGCTTTAGTGGCAGCTTTATTTCATAAGGAGTGTGACCTAGTCCTTATTGCAAAAGCCTGTCTCAATTCAAAACATGACACAGCTCCTTTCTAGGTATCATAGTAAACAATATCAAGTGTTACGATGTGACCGCCTTTATAAAAAAAGAGGTGGTGTTTTAATTTTAGCTTAAAACAGCATATCCTACGATGTTGTAACAAGGTTTCCTTGATAAATGCCTATGAATTTCTTGCTGTTGGTTTATTGTCTCTCGGCATAACTTTAGATTGATTTCAGTATACCGTACCCCTCTGTGCAGCGCGCATAACAGCGGTTTGTTATTAAAATTGACAAGTGACTTCAGTAGTCATGATGCACCCTGCCTGGTTATTGGAGATACAAACCTGTCTGATATTGAATGGAGTTGTGCTAGCCGTAGTAACCTCTCTACTATATCTGATGAATTTACGGATGTGTTTCTTTCACATAATTTTGTGCAGTTTGTCAGAAAACCCTCATGTGGTGCATAATACCTTGATCTCATTTTTTGTAATGATGATCGCTTGGTCAGCCAAGTCAAAATACTTTTCTCAATTGGAGGCAGTGACCATGCTTCCATGGATTTCACCCTTGACATCACCGCACCCCTGCTCCCCTTAAGAGTGGTTACGAGATTTCAGTAGAGCCAACTATGATGCCATTGGAGAACACTTGAGTGGTACTGATTGGGTAGGGTGTTTGGCTACTGTAGCACTGTGAAGAAAGAGCCCTTATTACAATTCTCCACGATTTCATTAATCGTTTTGTACCGCTGCGGCCTACCAAAGGTAGACGTGTCAAATTGCCTCCTTATGTAGAGAGAATGCTCGGTCGCCGCAGTTATTTATGGTCTTGCGCAGTAGCTGATGATTACCCTCCCAATTGGAACATGTATAAGCTTTTCGATAAAAAGTTGCGCAAAAGTATAACAAAATATTTCGCATACTCAGAAAGTAAGATCGTTGAATCAAAGGACTCAACAAAGTTGCTTACGTACAATTACAAGCGCCTCGAGAAATCCAAAAAATTCCGACGTCAAGAGCATCTGACAACAATATTGCTATGCTTTATGAAGAAAAGGCAAAAATACTTGCCAAGCATTTTCATAGCGTTCTTGTTGAGCAAAAGCTAATGACACTCCTTCACTCGAGCTTCCCTCCTGTGACTCCTTTATGGGTTCATCATTGTGCTTCCCCGAAGACGAGGTTTCGAGTTGTTGACTCAGCGGCCAAATTGTTACTCGGTTACACCACAATTCTCCCTTTGAATTATTCTCTATTCTAAACTACCGGCCCATATCTATCACTTCAATTTTTTCGAGGCTATTTGAAAAAATCGTAAAGCTAAGAGAAATTGAATACCTGGAGAGACATAATCTTATCTATCCCTCACACCCAGCATGGTTCTTGTGCTCGAAAGTCAACTGAAACAGCTTTGCTGAGTTCTCTCAATGATTGGTCGAAAGCCCTTGGTCGTAGGAAACAGGTGGATGTCATATAGCTGGAGTCCCTTGGGATCTACCCTCCCATAACTCGGTGGACTGAGGCCTTCATCTGCAGTCGCACCTACCAGGTACGTCTTGGAAGTAAGCTCTCCTCTGTTTATAAGATCCCAGCGGTGTCTCTCAAGGAGAGGCCCTATCTTCTTTCTTCGTAATACGGCTGACCTTCCTGCTGCCTTGCAAAGTCTTCAGGTATCCTCAATGATGTATGCAGGTGATATCAAACTATTCAAAGTCATTGAAAGCATCAATGACTGTGAGGTCCTACAAGCAGCAATTAATGTTAATGCTGATTGGTCAAAACAGAGGGAACTACCTCTGGCTCCCGATAAAACAAAGAAGTTGACAATCGGCAATGAAACTAATATCCCATGCAGTTACAGAATAGGCACTGTAACGTTGGGTTCAGTGGATCAAATGAAGAATCTTTGGTTTACCTTCTTGAACAAGCTTGCGTTTGACATGCATTAAAAATCTCTGTTCCAAAAGCAAACAACAGAATATACAACCTATTCAAGACCTTGAGAACCATGAAACCCACCGTATTACTGAAAGCCTACAAAGCTACGTAAGAAATATTGTGGAATCGGGTACCGCGGTATCCTTACTATATATAATCCACAAGTTTGGTGTGTCTGCCTGTTTGTTTGTTTGTTTGTTTGTTTGTTTGCTTGCTTGCTTGCTTGCTTGCTTGCTTGCTTGTATGTATGTATGTATGTATGTATGTATGTATGTATGTATGTATGTATGTATGTATGTATGTATGTTTGTTCAACGGGAAAAACAGTATTACCTGAAAAACACCTTTAGAGTTCGGGACAACTTCAGGTTAGGTGGAGCATGAGATAAGATCAACAGAGCACATATGAGCTGTGCGGAGCTTCGCCCAAGGAGGCGGGGCCAGTGCCGGAATGAGCTGTGCCAACAGTCAAACATCTTATTTTTGCTTGGAAAAAGTCCAGACACCGGGGAAAATGTTCAAAGGTGAAGATTTGGTCAACAAACCAGACGGAGGAGACCCATATGTTGTGGGCGGAGCCTTCTCAAAATGGGCGGTACTTTTCAGATGTATTCATGACTCGTTTCAATTGAGGCGCAGAGGCCAGGAAAAGAGACTGAGCAGGGCCTCATGCGTGCAGGCATGGGTAAGCTTAGTGAAGCGAAGGGCGTGAGTTAAGACGAGAGACACTTTTCAAAAATGAATGCAACTTTGCTTGGAAACGTTCTAGAATGCGGCAAAAGGGTGTTAAGATGTAAAAGAACATATAAGGCCAAATCCCCAAAGTGGGCGGGTTGGCACTAAACAGGGCGGGGCTTAGATCAAAAATTATAACTCTGCTCAGAAACTTTATGGGATGCGAGGAAAAAGTGGTAAGATGTAGTAGAACAAATGTGGTCAAATCTCATATGTGGGCGGAGTTGGCACTGAGTGGGCGGGGCTTAGATCAAAAATTTGTAACACTGCTCGGAAACGTCCTGGGATGCGGGAAAGAAGTGGTAAGATGTAGTAGGACAAATGTGGTCAAATCCCAGAAGTGGGC